AGCTACAAATTCGCGTTCTTTGTCCTAAGATTGAATCCTCGTATGGCTCACAAAGATATACTTTTGTAATTAGATTAAAGATATAATTTGTAATTAAGTTAAAAAAATAAATAAGCTCAACCGACTCATGGAATCGCAAGGGTAAAACTCGTATAAAATGACGCCTCAATATGAATCTCTCAAGGCTGTGTAAGCTACAAGTCACAATAACTAGGGTGGTATAATCAAATGTAAAATTCACATTTTACTTAAGTCATCAAAACAATAGTAATAAATTAAATTTGTTTATTGAATAAATAAATTATTAATTTCGCAAGTTCTGAAATATGTGGCAATCGGAAACTATTCTTTTGTCTTCGTCTCAACATCACTGACCAGAGAGAAGATGTTCTCGGCGGTGCATCGCTTGTGTATGTCCACATAGTTCCTACACGTCACGCCGCATTCCTGTACACACATATAATTTAAAGGCCATGGCGTACTTATTGTTTGATTTAACAACCGAGATCTAGGATTCATATAAGACATGCCTGAATATGTACATATGAATACATAATACAAATATATTACCGGTCCAAAGAAAGTTTGCATCCACGATTGATTCATTACACATAAGTTCTTATCTGCGACACAGTTCTTGATAAGCAATTTTGTACTAGTCTAAAAACAACCGGTTCAATAATTTTATGTTGCTTAATATAATGCCACTAACTACAAGACAAAGCTAAAACAATTCTTTGCAATAATAATTCACATGAGGGATGTATAGTCGCCATTCTTTCGACAAGTATAAGACTCCTACGCCATGGTCTTTTAAACATTATAATAATGAATCCTATAGATACCTTAATTGGACTCCCTAATCCTTCAAGCCTGTCACAAGGTAATAATGGTACTGTAGTCCAACGACAACAAGAGTCGAGGTTATTGCTCAGCTGAAGGGGCATTCGGTCAGCGGGTGCTGGGGCACCTTCCGGTGTGAAGCGCACGTAAAGCGGTGCCGCCTAAGACAATAATGGATAATCGACAAATTTATTTATCGACAAATCAAACGATCAGTATACAGTACTAAACTTTATGGCGTCTCGTAGCTCATGAGAAATCCTTAGACGGGTCATATTTCAAACCTCTACAGTGGACCCACCTGCCTAGACCATACATGCACACGCATCAAACCATGGCCCACTATAAAATTGGTATCTTATATTATCTAGGCAAATAAAAGAAACAATAGTCAGACACAAAAAACAGCGATATGATTGTAATGGCACCTCAGGTTCCCCGTAGTTTTCAGCCTTCAGCAAAAACTCATCTCCATAATTCATTTTCTCACCTCGTGAAGCGTCACCGTTAGTACTGAAAAAATAGTATCAACCAATATAACAGCAGAGTCGGAACACAATCATAAGCATGTTTTCGTTAATAAATTATAATAGCACGGTGTATCTACGTTCTTTTAAAACGTAACATAGCATTAAAAATTTAAAAATGTTGAGTAAATTACAAAAAAAAAAATTTTAAACCTTAGTATAACGAAGGTATTGCGGCAACAGGGCGTAGTTATAGGTGACAAAGTCATGAGGCATCCATCACAAATGTTCTGCACGTAGTCGACTTGTCGCTCTCTCACCAAACTTGACAACGCTAAACCGTACCGTGGCTTTGAACCTTTAGTTTGCCCTTTCACTATATTTGACGATAATAGAAAAGATTTTTATTTGATACTTGGTTTTTACTTAAAAATACCCTACGCCTATGATTATAAAAAATCTACTGCCAGACTATACGTCCCAAAGATAAATGAAGATTCTATTATGTATCTCGTGATGATTACGTGTAGGTTACACTTGCCTTTATTGCTTCTAATACAGATAGAGAATAATAAATTTAAAACCAATGGTCAAATAATAACACGGTAATCTTTCTTATGAAAGCAGGGTAACATCAAAATTATTTAATACTCTAATCTTAAAGAAGTATATGGTTTATGTGATATTTTATTACCTGGCATATCTGTTGCTACCACTTGCACATTAAACCCATAAAGTACGTAAGTTCCACTAATTGCAAGAGGTCTCTGCAATATTTTCAAAATTAACCAATTTTCTCGAAAAAAAGCTAAAAGCAAGCAAAAGTCTGTATGCCCAAATGCTGCCTGTATTAATAGTCTATATACTTAACATTCAATAAGAAATAAATGAGGAGGGCCTTTTTATCTATTTAAATTATAATATTTACCTCTTTTAGCAAATTACTGAATAATGTCCTGGATCTTTGCAGCAGGAGCTCATGCCTATCACGTTTTCTAAGAAATAATTTAAATTCATACTGAAATTGTAAGTGTAGTCGTATGAATATTACTGCAAAGGCCGCCAAACACAGACTGCTGCTAACAATTGTGACCAACAGCTACAGTGGTCGATTGTGATTAGAAGAAGACCTCCGACCTTTTAGAATCGGTTAGTTGATACAGTCTGTGTTTGACGGTCCCAAATAAACCACCAATCACTAACTTTTCGAATTCGAAAATAATTAACACCTTTCAGGACTAACGGTCATAATTTGATTACTGATTATCTTATTTGATTCGATTTTACCTCGTTTTTAAGTCGCTCTTCGTTCCAATTGCCTACTAATACAGAATTGTTATAGGCCATTCCTTAAAACACGAATTCTTTTATATAATTGAAAAGAAGTAAATTCCAAAATATATATATCAAACGTCGCCGATTTCGAATAATTGATGATTGTCAAAAGTGAACGTTATTTTAGACATCTGTTTCACTAAATAACAGACAACAAAAGGTAACACTGAGATGAAACCAAATCAAATACAATTTTGCAATGTTACCAACTCTTTGAATGCTTTTAATGTGTCAGTCAATCAAATCAAGTGAAAAGCAAAAGTCAAAGTCATAATTGAAGTACTTGTTGGCGGGAAAGCAAAATAAGTTTTGTTAAAAATTAATAAAGTAGATAAGAAAAAGCATAGTTGTTAAAAAATCTTCCCTATCAAATTATACCACGTACTATTAAGCTAAAATTGATAAAATAGACGAGTGAGTAAAGATTCGCAGAGGTTATTGTACTCTGTTTTAGTAATTGGGTCAGAACGATTCATGATTTACAAAAGTACGATAAACGCAGTTGAAACGATTATTTTCGCTTGTATTTTATTAGTTTTGTTTTGTGTCTATAAAAACAATGTGGGCTTCACATGTGCGATATACCATATTTTCTCTTGCATTCGTTAACCTATTATATTGTAGTGCTTTAAAGTTAGCATCAATTGACAAAACATACAAAAAAGGCTTAGAAGCTTACGCTGGAGAAAGATGGTCTGAGTGCATAGCAAAATTTGAAGAAACATTGCACTTGTATAAACTGCATAGGATCATTTTAATTAATTGCAGACTTAAGTGTGACTCTAAAAAATGGAATTCTGAAATTGAGGAAATTGAAGATATAAAAATTTATGAAAAGTTTTTAAATACAAGACTATGCATTACCGACTGTCAAATCAAAGGATTTGAAGATGCACACTTAAACAACATAGTATCTGAATCTGTAATAAATGATATGGATTCCAAAAAACCTTATGAGTATCTTCATATATGCTATTTCCAAATGAATGCTTTCCCTAAAGCCGCGTCTGCAGCATTTACATATCTGTCTGCCAACCCAAGTGATGAGAAAATGAAAAAAAACCTTGAGTATTATCTAGACCAACCTGAAGTTGATGCCAGTGAAGTTGTAGATTTTGAGAGTGAAGTTTATAAGATACTGTACCGTCTCGGAATTAAGGAATACAATTTAAAAAAATGGGCTGAAACAGCTGCTAATATGGAAGAAACATTAACTGATTATTTCTCATGGGAGAATATGTGTAGAGCTGAATGTCAACATCAATCAGAATGGGAATGGTCTCCGGAATACTCAGTAACTGTTTCAAATTACATGATGTCCCTCCTCATATGTAAACAAAATTGTCAGAACAAACTTGAGCATTTAGATTTTGATTCCGGAAACAATTTTCTGGCTGATGTTCTGAATTATTTACAAATTTCATATTATAATTTGGGAAGGATTGAAGATGCTGCTAAAGCAGTAGAAAGTTATTTATTATTGATACCTAATGATGAAGACATGTTATCTAATAAAATGATATACAGTTCACTAACGGATAAAGACAACTTCAGTAAGAGATCAGACATTACTTACTATTTTAAACGTGACAAATATGAAAAGCTTATCTTAGATAAATTTTACAATTCTGAAATAGATAATGCAATACTTTCCATGCAAGAATAATATAATTTAAGGTATCAATGTTCCTTCTGTATTGGAACTTGTTGTCTTTAAATTTATACGTAGGAACTTTAAATCGTACCAAAGAAATTGACTTTAATTGTCACTATGGGAAAATATATTTTTTTATTTTATTTTATAATATATACCTAAGCCTTTATTTTAACAAAGTGTATGATTATGTATAATAACAATATAATGAATTATGTGATATGAAATGTGCCATAATTAAAGTTTACGAGCTTTTATACATTTTATAAAAATATACTTTTAATTGATTATGGGAGATTGTTTTATTTTAACCTTTTAAAAAAGATTTTGCACCATTTTCATAATACTGATGTTTTAGTTTAATGATTTGATGAGATTTTTTGGCCGTTGGTTTGTATTGGTGTAGTCTAAACAGCTTAACTGATTTTGAATAGATTTTTGGAGATAACCCTGAAACAATTTTAATTAATTAGTATTCGTACGTTGCTTTAATAGTTGTATTGGTCTACTAGTCATTTTTATATCTTTATAAATAAATTCATTCATTTTCGTTTGGTTGAGGTTAACTTCACGAAAATGGTAACAAATATATTCTTTGACAAATGTTTTCGTTGATCATCATTTCTAGTACTGGTAACATTTTGTTTTTTCTATTATGGCGATACTATTTTGTTAAATATTTCACTAAACTTCATCAAGAGGGCGCCTAGGGCCTATGCCTGACATATTATAGTAACTCTCGAAAAATTGTGAGATTTTATATGGGCTTGAATTATAACCAGGTAATATGTTTTAGACAAAAATAAGTTAATTCCATGTTATTATTATAAAGTCCAATTTTATAATCGTTTCATTCTTTCCAGTTTACTATAATCACCTAACAAGATTTCGATAGGACAATCAAGACAAACCTTCATATTACACTAATATTCATGGAAACATAGTGTTTATAAAATTTATGTGATAATTTGAACTTCCTATCTTTGTCATAATACGTTATTCATTTAGCTGTCAAGAACTTAGTAATGTTTATGTTTCAGGTTTTTTCCATGAAATTGTATTCAATTCTATGAAAGATTATCATTTCATAATTTATGGTTCTCATTACAGAATAATGGCAAATGAATACAACAATAAGACACATATTAAAACATTATTGTTTACAAAAGCTATACCAAATTACAAAATTCCCGTACCACTTTATGGACACAAATTGTACCGCTGTACTGATTGTGAAGACAGGTATAAAATTTAGAATATTTTACTGATTTGTTATATTTATTAATATTTTAAAGTACAATTTATTTTACAAATTAAACAATAAGATAATTAATGTTTCAGAACTTGACCTCCCACAAGAATGAAGTCCTATGAATACCAAACCAAAATTTCATCAAAATCTGTAAGGCAGTTTAAAAACTCATAGGTGGGGCAAATATGCATTTTTTAAATATGTGTTTATGTATATAAAAAATATTAATCTTCACTTTGACAATACAGAAATAACTCTTTTTCAGGTACATTGTGGAATCTAGCTACCATTACCATGTTAATAGAAAGTCTGTAAAAATTACTTACAAATGTAGACATTGTGGTCTCATAAAAATATTTTACAATCGCTGTAACTTGTTAAGCCATATTAGATCGCATGCTTTTAAAACTACAACTATTAATATAGGTGATTTGAATGTAGAACCTTTACTTCCTTCATCTGAAGTTGTTCCAAAAAATATTCAAAATCAACCACAAAAAACAATATTACGAAATTATATATGCTTTGAATGTAAAGCTGATGACACAAAGACTGGAATTGCATACAAAGACAGAGTAGCACATTATATGCATTTATCAAATGCTATATTATATACATGTCCCATATGTATGTTTACTTTACCAACAACTTGTGCGCTCAAAGCTCACTTACGTCTTCATTTAAAACATCCGCCTTTCTTCTGTCCTGAATGTGGTATTACACTACAAAACAAATGTGTAGAATATCCATATACACATGATTGTGAAGGTTTTAAAATGATGAGAGCAACTGCCCGAATTAGTTGTTCCGCAAAGAACTGCCATGTTTTTCATCCAAATGAATATAATGAGCATATGACATCTCTTCATTTGAAGAAAATGTACAAGTGTCCAGCATGTGCCATGTGTGGTTACAATGAAGATGAAATGCAGCAACATTTAAAGGTTCACAATTATGGACTCATACCTGTTATTTTGTATGAATGCACAGAATGTAATGGCAAATTGCTGGTTGATACCCAAGTTACGAAACATTTGGCTTCTCATGTTAACACTTTTGTATATCCATGTTGGTCTTGTGGTAAAATTTTCAACTTGCCTTCTAATTTGATAAGTCACCATATGTGCAATCACTTAAAAGAAATAAATATATCCCATCAGTTACAAGAAAAATATAGAAACACATACAAGAGTATATTGTCTATAAGGACTCCTGTTTGTACCAAGAAGAAAAATTCTATTAATTCAATTATTTTACATGAAAAGGATGATAATATAAATCTTATAAAATGCCACTTATGCAAAAAATTGATGTCCCAAAACTGGGAAAACATAAAAACCCATTATAAAAGATTTCATAAAAATTACAAATGTGTTGATATCAAAGTTGTTCTTGAGAAACTTGATGAAGATTCTATAAAGGTAAATAGTAAAAAATTGGAATGCAAAAATGAAAAGATAGTTGAAGTTAATGAAGAAAATATTGCTCACTTGTCAAGAAACAAATCTGGGAAATGTTCCAAAATTTCCAAAAATATCAGTAATTATTTAGCATGCAAAAAGTGTGATTACCAATGTAATGATAAGGAATCGTTAGAAATACATTTGAGAGAGCACAAAGACCCGTACATGGCATATCAGTGTTTGGAGTGTGGACAAAGTTTTGCTGTGAAACCATCATTTTCAACTCATCTGTTACTGGAACATGATATATCAGATGTTATTGATTATATTAGTAAAAAACAATGCTACAATGAAAATGCACTTGTTGCAAAGCATTGTAGATCTGATAATAATGATGAGAATGAGCCATTGAAAGAACATCAATGTAAAATTTGTAGAGAACAGTTTGATAATGCAGATAATTTAGAAAAACATTTTAGAGTTCATGGAATGGCTTTTCTAATGAAGAATACAAATAAAGGAAATCATACTTAAAATACTTGTCACGAAAATGCATAATATGGAACACTTCAGTGATTGTATGAGATTTGGGGAAAGCTTAATCATTTAGTTCTAGGTTTAGGTCTTAGTAGATTAAAAACAAAAAAAAAGGACAAAGAGCAGAGATGTTGCAGTTCTCACAGAAAAATTGAAAAATAAAAACATGTTTTTTAACTTGTTTTTGTTAATATTTACCATAGAATTTAGATACTAAGGGAGACTTAAATTCCTAAGAAAGGCATGTCTATTAAATAATGATTTATTACTTCAATTAAATTTTTATCTTAAACTGTAAGAATGTATTTTATAGTAGCAATAAAATATGATGAATGTTAATTTTGGTTTAATTCTACATAATGCCTACTGTCCATTGAAAGTAGTTATTAAATAAATAGGTTTGTTTTTTGTGTGCACTGCAAAATTCCGAAGTTATTGGTTGGTTCAAACAAGACTTGTGTTTCACTATGTCTCTGCCAACACAAGTTTGATTGTTGAAATGAAACATTTTTCAACAACAAATTAATATTTATTGAAAGAAAATAGAAACAAAAGAAAGCCAGTCTTCAGACATTATTCCTTTGGGTAAACATTTGATTTTGATGCAATTTGTACTGGTATGAGTAAGCTCTAAAGATAGACACCAAATCTTAACTGATTGAAGTAACAACAGTACAAGTTCTGATCTTTTAAAGTAACGGGGTAAATTAAAAATAATTGTTTCTACCCCACCTTTCTTTTCTCCTAACTACTTACCTGAGAAGTATATGAATGCATCCTTTACACTTAGTAATTCCAAATTAGTATCTTGAAGATGAAAAAAGGTACCACCATGTTCACAGAATATGTTTATTCTCTATATAGAAAAAATAAACTTGATAAGTGGGACAAGAAAACTCTTAACTAGACACAGAAGTTTAATTCATTTATTAAAATTTCAATTATATTAAAACTAGGTACATTTACACTTGATATTCAAAAATTTTAATGATAGTACATTATTGTGTATTTTGGTATTTTAACCATATCAAAACATTTATATCTAAGGTCTTTAATATCAATAAACTTTACACCTTAAGGTCTGAAGTAAAAATAAAATTAGATGTATTAATAACTAGGTTTAAAAACAATTTAGAAAGCTCACAAATTGTAAGCATGCCAGTTCTATTTTACTATGTTGTACTGTTCAGTGGATTAATATATATTATGATCACAATCTTTTAACATAAATATCTAAATATTATTTACTTATGTACATATTCTTATTAAGAGGTAAGTTAATTATTTAATTAAAATCAAATAGATAAATCTCATCACACACTTAAATACAAGCGATGGTATGCAGAGGCTCCTTTCAGCATAATTCTGCAGTTCGGACATCTTTTTTCAACTTTTAAAGATTTTTCAAGACATTTAAGACAAAAAACATGCCCGCATTTTGTTGAAGCGAGTGGGTTTTTCCCCAGTTCTTCCCAACAAATAGGACAACTACCTATTTGATTTGATTTTCTTTTCGTGTTTGCAACACACTTTTCTTTGGGCGACGGTGTCTAAAAAAATAAATAAAATGTTAAATCGAAAAGCATTATAGCTTATTTATAACTTATTAATGTGAAAACTATATTCATCTTACCGAAGTTTTAGTTGAAGATTTACGTACTCTGGGCGATTTCCTGTTTGATTTTTTTGCACGTACATTGCTTGCTTCAAAAGAGTCATCTGTATCTATTACTATAACTTCATTAGCCAAGTTGCAGTGATCTGCTAATCTAAACGATATCGTCAAATCGACGACATCTCCGTCATGGTTAGTCATGTTGTTTTTCTGGTCACTTCGGAAACCTATATTTAATAATAGTTATAAAGTTTGTTGAGTTAAACAATGTATTTGTAGATATTTCACTTAAACAAAATGATGTGGAGCATAAAAGAAATCGATTGTTGCAAAGTAAAATTTGAACCAAAAAGCATAATATAAAAATTTGATCCAATGTACCTATGATTTTTTGTAGTATATGTTCGAAGTAAATAATATTGACTTAACGTCCTATTATACATAAACAAGTAAAAATTTGAAACAAATAAATATCAAGTTAATAGTTGTTTTTAGATTCACATTAACAACAATGTATTTCGTTCAAATTCTTCTAAACATAAACAATCGAATAATTTTTATGGCACTAGGATCTTGCCATTTTGAGCTATGTCGGAAGGATAAGATAGATGGCTTATATGAATTATCTATGGTCACGTCTACTCAAAAACTCAACTCAAACGTCAACGTCAGTAATAACGTCATAAAATATTGATACTTTTATGTCTATCTCACCTTTTTCCAAACAAAATTCGGAAGTATCTAATAGTTTAGTAATATAACATTTTTTAAATATTACGATACCCTATACGACTTACAACTAAAGTATATTTTTCAAGTCACTTTGATATAAAATTATCATGTAAGTATGAAAAGCATAATTATATTCTTACTTATTGAATGGATATTTTTTTATTATGTTTAGATTATATTAATTGTAGTTGAAAGCTATACAGCCCGTTGAAATTTTATAACATTTAAAACACATTTAAAGCTTGTAGTTTATATTTCAGCATGCACCTTGGTGTGAATATATCTAATGCTTTACAACAATTAGAAAGTGTAAAGGCTGCTGTTGATCAAAATGATGATCCAAAACTCAAGGTAAATGTAATAGATCAATTTGAGACTAAGTGTAAAGAATTTTATACACTTTTCCTTATACTTTAGGAGCAAATGTGTGATGTTTTTTTTCTGTTCTGACAAATATGTTGTATGTAGATTTGTATGTATGTATTTCAATACTATCGTGACCTATACTTAACCGATTTTGACCAAAGAGGTTTAATTTGTTACGTATCTTTCCCCGGAGTATCATAAACCTATAGTAATTCAGGTGTTTCACAACATGTTAATTCTAAACAATATATTTATGTATTTAAGGCTGCCACTACTGATGATCTAAACATGCTTATTAATTTGTTGGAGAGTCCAATATTAAGAAGTATAGCAACTTTGCATGACTCAGTTGCAATGCTGGCCACCCAAGTTGCTCACCATCCCTCAATGCTTCCTGGTGATTTTGACATCACTCCTGCTGGTGAGAATTTAAAAAAAAAATTAAATGTCGAATATTTAGTAGTAAAAATATCAATTAAATTTAATGAATATATTTTCATGGTTGTGATGTCAATAATAATTGTATATTTAAATGACTTTAATTATTACTAGTAGGAAAAACCTTACAAAATAAAGAAATATATATTACTATCATTAATACATGTTATGTTTTTATAATTTTACTACTATTTGTCAATGACTCCAACCATGCAGAATTAAAAATAAATTAAATGGTAGCCTATGTGTTCATCCAGACTATGTTCAACATCTATGCCGAATTTCGGCAAGATCCATGTAGCCATTTTGGCGATTTTACCATATGTATGGTATCCAATGAACATCCATCCATCCGTACATCCATTCACATTTATTATATTAGTGAGATTTAATTTTTGATGAACAGGTGATTTGGCATTGCAAACTAGGAACCTATACGGTTCACATGAGGGGGAGGAGGAACAACGCGTTCCGCAAGTTTCACCACCAAATAGCTTGGAGTTTGGATCAAACTCGGACAATGAACGCATGTTGGGACTTGATACAGCATCGGTTGACTCCAGTATGTCTCCAAAGCAGGTATGTTATGCATAGTTATAGAAGAATGTGAAGTATATATTTATTCCACTTCTACATTCTTTAATTTTTGACTTTATTTTAGCATTGCAATAGCCTTTCTAACTACTACTAAAGTGTTTGTTTTTTTGGTGTTTCAGAATCGTGGCATATTGGATTTGTCACGTAATGATGACTCCTTGGCATCAGCTTCTACTAACATTGTTGCAGGAGATTGGGCACAGGTTGAAATAATAAATTTAGTAAATGATGGCACTGGACTTGGATTTGGTAAAGTGTTATTTGAATATTTTTTTATCAAATATTAGCATGCTATTGAAATCAATTAAACTTATAAATATAATTTTCATATCGCAGTGTTAGTTACCGTACATCCCCGAAACGACTTGACCCCGATTTTTATGAAATTTTATATGCATATTCAGTAGGTGTGAGAGTCTGCTACTATCTATTTTTTATACGCGGATGGAGTCGCGGGCGACAGCTAGTTACATTATAAGTTATATTCTAGACAAGTAAAAACTTGTATTTTTAACACAACAGCAAGATCCATAGTCCATACATTTAAATATTAATTTATTTATAATAATTTCAGGTATAATTGGTGCTAGAACTAGTGGAGTCATTGTAAAAACTATACTGGCTGGTGGCGTGGCAGATCGTGACGGCCGCCTCAAGTCAGGAGATCACATATTACAGATCGGAGATGTAAGTTATTTTACCGTAATAGAAAGTGTTCGCTTCTTTAACTATTTGCTTTTGTTTAAACATTTATGTCTTGAAGTGAAACTGGAGCTAAAAGGATGTTTCGTAGTATTTTTTAAAAGATAGTTAAAAAGCAGTCTTTTTATTTTTGAGATACAGATGTGCAAACCATTTCATAGGAACAGAAATCGGTAATTTAAAAGATAAGAGACATAAAATACTATAATAATTAAGTTTCGTAGCATTGGATTCAATTTATTCGCGATGCTTTAATAAAATAATATTAATTATTGTAAAATATAGTTGGCAAGCGTAGTCACAACAATCTATGTTGGGTCGTTTTAATTCTTTAGTGGCCCAAGGTCATATGCACGCAGCCCAGTGCCCCCCGACGCATCTTAAATTAAGTTCTGTGCAGAAATATTTGAAAATCTCAATAACTATAAATAATTTAGCCGGAGTGAATACAGATATTGTGTTTGTAGGTGAGCTTGATGGAGATGGGTTCAGAGCAGGTGGCAGGCGTGCTGCGCGCGTCAGGCTCGCGCGTACGTCTCGTGGTGACGCGTGCTGTTGACCCCGCCGCCGTGCAACCTTCCATCGCACCCATAGTACCCGCAAGGTTACATTCACATCAATTATCTATACATATAATAACATTGGTGTGTCTGTTTGTTACATCGAATTAAAGGTTACATATTTTGTGTACGTGATGTAGAAACATTACCATAATGAAAAACCAATTTTCAAGGCCGTCTGTCCCTGTTCCCGATAATCTCCGGAATGGTTGGGCCGATTTTGACGGGACTCTCACAGGAAGATGGCTAATGTGCGCGGGAATATTATTGGCTACTTTTTTTTTTAATTTGCACTAACGACGGCAATTGAATACATTACGGCTGAATAGAATGCTCATCACCAGTTAATTTTGTTTTAATTGCAAATTATTCATATAAGAGTACAAGTCTTTAATTCTTAATAAATATAAATGATTGTTTCCAGGTTACTGTCTAACCCGGAAGCTTTGGATCGTTACTTGCTGGATACTGGATTCGAGCAAGTGTTCAACACTCAGCCCGCGCTGGTGACATCAAACCCGGCGCCCACTAGATTTGTCTTCGGCAGCTCCATAACACCGCCTCCGGAATCTGGTAACATTACATTAAAATACACATTGCTTATTTAAAACATTGAATAATTTCATATTTACTTTATTACAATAATATATACAAATTTTTAGATGCCGAATCACCAGAAGTTGATAGATTTACTGTGCAATTGAAGAAGGACGAAAATGGATTGGGGATAACCATAGCAGGTAAATTCTCTGTTTTTTTTTATCTCAGATAAGAGGGCAAAAGAGGAGCGGGAACATCCGCGACACCTATGTCTTCTTCCCGACTATCTTCTACAGCTGTACCAAATTTCATCGAAATCAGTTGAGCGCTTCTGGAGATTACCTTCTAAGAAATATCTATCAATTGAAACTTTCGGATTTATAATATCAATAAGATTAAGTAAGATACGCAATGTGTCAGGGTACGTGTGCGAGAAGGAGGAGCTGTCGGGGATATTCGTGAAGTCAGTGACAGCGGGCAGTGCGGCGGCGCTGAGCGGCGCGGTGCGAGTCAACGACCGCATCGTGGCGGTGGACGGCGTCTCTCTCGCCGGCAAGTCCAACCAGCGGGCAGTCGACGCCCTCAAGCAGAGCGGCAACGTCGTCACTTTACAACTGGAGAGGTAACAAACACCTCACACAATGCTCTAAGTGTCCAAAAGTTCTACCTTAGCGTACATTTTGTCTTTGTGACTGCGCCTTTAAATGCTGATTTGTAAGGATTAAAGTTGGACATGTCGTCATAAGGTCACTATTTATTGGTAGTTTTAAATGTTTATGAATTGTGTAGATATCTTCGCGGCGAAAAGTTCGAGCAGCTGCAGCAGGCGATCGCGGCGGGCGAGAGCGCGGCGAGTGCGGCGCCGCACAATCCCTTCCTGCACATGCACCGCCCCGACCCGCGCCACGCCCCCCATACCACACACGCAGGCCACGACCTGCCAATGATGCATCTGCACTCCTCGTGAGGATACATTTTCAATATCCGACTCCCAAAAGATCATATTATACTTCAACAACTTGAAATGTAATATCATAATAAATTAAAAACTATAACAGTTCGGAGCCAAACAAAGAGGAAATTGTAGAACCGCCCCCGGCACCGCGCACGCCCACTCCGCAGCCCGCTTTCGAGATGCCGCGCACGCACGAACAAAAGGAGGCCATACGACGCAAGTGGCAAGCTATTTTAGGTATTAATAATTTTTTAAGGTTTTTAAAAATTAACAATGGTCTGGTTCATGACCCTCGTATTCTATGTGTGTTGCAGGCGAGGATGTTGA